TGGATAGAAAAATGCAGAAACTATAAAGAAGTTAGGTTTATACTAGGGACTGGGAGTGATTCCTGGGGCAGAGCCCCTGGCAAGGGTTATGACAATTACAAGGGGTCTGGGGGACACAGCCCCTGGCTGTGGAAATGCAGCATTCAGAAGAGATCCAGAAGTATATTCCCCAGCTAGTGAAATACGGCAATCAGGAGGGGGGTTTTGATTCACACAGGAATCTTTGGGGTAGTTTGTGCATACGGATGGATCAATTGTTTGTTTGTGCAAAACCTATATCTCAGATTTCTAGATGCTTGTTTACTACTATTTGTAGGCTTTGGAATAAATTGCTTTGAGTGATTGTAACAATAGCTGATTCTGGATAAGGTGAAAAAATCTGCTAATATGTACATACTACATAAATAGCTGATTTTCCACCTTCTCTTTCTTTTTTAGCTTGTTTTTATTTGCACCTTTGGTGGTATACTTTTCAAGTTTTTCATTGTGGATCTTTATTGATCTTATCTTACCATATAATGATAATGATAATGATGATATAACACCACCAGTTTGAATCTTCTGGGACTGAATTTTGGCTTAGTTTTTTTATTTTCCACTATTATTATCATTTAAAATACAATTCTTGGTTTGGGCTTTTCACTTTCCAAAGTCTTTTACTTTTTAAAATACTTTCTGTGAACTAATTCATCTCTATCCAATCCACCCCATTTAAAATGGGGTGCCCCAAGGTTGTTGGCTTGAGTTGGGGACTGAAGGTGCATTTCTGTTGTAGACATTAACCCATTTGAAATTTAGAATTGGTAGATGTTAAGAAGACAACCATAAAGGTTTTAGAAACTCAACATTTTTTCATAAAAGTATTTTCTTTTATATCCAAATCTACTTGAAGTGTGCTATGGTCTGTGGTAGATGGCCTGCAGCCTAAAGATGAGCACAATAGTGGTTCACTGTTAAATGATCACAGCAACCTTCACACTTCCTGCCATAACAAAGACCAAAATCAATCCTTAAATGAGCATGGTGACACAGTTATGGTTAATAAGGAAAAAGAAAAGAAAAAACATGCTTTCTCTCTATTCTTTTTATTTTTATGATTATACTTGGTGTTATACAAAGAAACAGTCAGTGTTTATTGAAATGGATTTATCAGAACCAAACCAGAATAATGAGGTATCAAGAGAAATTTTATCATATAAGAATAGTTTAAGTAACTTACATATTATTGGAAGAAATAGAAAGTCAAGGCATAACCACTCTCCCAACAGGTCCGAAAAAAATGCCAGTGGTTGGAGCAAAGAGAAGATTAAGAGTCTGTTTGAGGGCATGGTGTTGGAGGAACCAGGACTCGGTAAGTGTACAGCACACAGTTCCTCTACATTGTATAAGGTTGTCTAAGATTACTGAGCTTTATCTCCATATGGAAGATAAGGAAGCGTATTCTTCCCTGGTGGAGGGTGGCCATTGGCAAGTTGTGTGATTGTTCTGATTAGTGTTATTTTTTTGTTTTGTTTTGTTGTATCTGCAAAGGATTGTATTCAGATTGTTTTTGTTTTAATGCTGCAGAAGTCTTGAACATGTTAATGTAATGCAGAAATAGGAAGTTGACATTATAGTGTAATCGTTGTTCAAATATAGAATGGATATTTATCGTACTTTGTGATTTTTAAACATTGTATAGTAACCCTGTATTCAGATTGCAAGAATTGGAAGAAAGCCTTGATAGTACCTGAATTTGTATCCATCTCTGTTTCTTCATTAGTAACTTGTTCCTTATTCCAGTCTTACCTTAGTCTTTGGCACTAACCTCCATCTTTTCCTCCTGCAGCCAAAGTGACCATCAAGGAAGTGTCCAAGTGTGACGGGGAAGCCATGGTCAACAATCGCAAAGGGAAGCTCATCTTCTTCTATGAATGGGACATCAAGATGGACTGGGTTGCCAAGAAGGAGGATGAGCCCAAGAAGGACATCAAGGGCCACATCCAGATACCCAATCTCTCTGAGGAGAATGAACCATGTGAGATTGATGTAAGTTTTTTTCTTTTATCATCTATTCAGTTGTGTAATTGTAATTATTATTATTATTATAATTATATTTTTGTACAATTGGTGTTTTTGTTAAATTATTCATATATGATTTACTTTAATCCATGGGATCTGGGTAACATGACAGTCACATCATTAAGTATTTGGTTGAGGGCCAGGTGATGGGAATGTACCATGAAAAATTTGCTGAAGGTTGGGGTACCAGGAATGACTCCTGATGAGTGCATAAATCACTTACAGGAAGGTTATACTCATTAGACATTTAGGAAGGAGCTCTTGCATTATTTCCTTTAGTAAATGATGTGACCAGTGGAGCTGGGTGTGTTACAGAAAATTTAATAATATGAAAATGTAAATATTAGTTTTTACTATTCTAGAGAGGTATAGACTACCTAGAAAGATAATATGGATTGCCAGGATCTTGGGGAAACGTTCAGGCAGTGAGGCTCCTGGA